TAAATGTTTAATTAATAAGATAAAATGTTATATTATAAATTATAATTTTTTTTTTTTTTTACAAAGTCAAAAAAAATTAAAAAATTCATCAAAATGAGACTTTTAACCCCAGACTAAAAATAATCAAAAAATCAATCTATATCCAAATGCACACTAAGACCTCGTTTGAGAATATATTATTTTAAATAATTTTTAATTTTTATTTAAAATATGAGGTAAAAAAATTAATATGTTTGAAGTGTCTTTTTAATTCTTTATAAAAAAAATTTAAAAATAAAAAATAAAAAAAATCTTTAACGTTTTAATATAAATTTTATTTAATTAAAATAAATATATTTTATTCATATTTTAGCGTACTTTTTCATTTTCTTCATAAAAGATCCAAAAAAAATAATTAAATCACACACCATTAATAATTTTTTAAGTTTTAAACTACAACAGTGAGTTGTCAAAACCGCCTTGGAGTCTCTGGTCGCCCCTCACCAGCTTATAATAACAGTCCCCGCCTTTCCATGCTTGAAGTGTTCGCTTTCTCAACTCCCACACTCTCTCTTCTCTCTCACTGCCATCCGACACTCAAGGTAAGCTAACTTCAATCCCGTCGTTTTCTCAATTCTTAATCGGTTTTGAAATTTGATAATTGGAAACCCTAAGGCCTTGCTCCTGTGTTTTTGATCGTTTTCTCGTAATCAATATCGTCTTCTCTGAAAATTTGAGATTTGAGGCCTTAATTTGAACGTTAATACGATTACTGCTCTTTTGGATAAAATTTTGTTCAATTTGTTGTGTATCAGCTGTTATTTGAAATTTTCAGGTTGATTTCTCACATTTCGGATTTATAAATATAATTTTAGTCACATACACTACTGTTTGTTAGGTCAACTAAAGGCAGTCTTTGTTGAGATTTTTCTGATTCATTTCTCATATTCAATCGAATTCAGTTGAATTTAGATCAACTTAAGCATTGTTGTACATGCTAATTGCGTTTTATTTGGATCGTGTGAATTTGTTTTCTTGCGTTTGTATTGGTTTTTTGAATTCCATGTCATTTTTAACCAGATTAGAACATGATGTTGCTGAACAAAACTATAGTATTATCAAGATTTAATATTTAAAGGTTCAATAATTTACACTTGATGTAAATGCCTAGTTGTGTTGTTTGTCTTTCTGCCATTTTTACTTCACTTTTTGTGTTTTTGATAGCTGATTTTTTTGTTTTGAGTTTGTTTCTTTATTGTTCATCCTGATTTGATCAGTTGAATCTGTTATATCAGCTAAAAAAACATCTCTTGTTAAATTTGCATGTTGCAATTTTTTTTAATAATTGCTAGTTCAAACCCTTGTTTCATATTTTGTGATTGCAGACTCAACTTGGTTCTTAACATTTTTTTTTTTTTGTTTTTTTTTTAAATGTTGTGATCTGATTCAAGGTTGTGGCAGATCATCTGAAATTGTATTCGACATTATATTTGAGATGCCATCTAAAAGTCCTGATTCATCCGATCAAGACAAGAACCATTTGTTGAAGTAGATCCATCTGGACGGTTGGTCGGTACAGTGACCTCCTTGGTACTGGTGCTGTCAAGAAAGTTATAGGGCATTTGATCAACGGGAAGGAAGAGATGTGGCATGAATCAGGTTCAATTAGGGAAGTTCAGCAATGATCCTTCTGTCTCAAAAGTTCAGGCAGAGATTGCATTGCTGAAGTCATTGAGAGAATGAGTACATTATGTTCTCTACAGTTTTTGGAAGGACTCTGAGCGTAACACATTGAATTCATCACTGAAGCATGCACGTCAGGGAATCTGAGGACTATAGGAAGAAACATCGCCATGTGTCAATGAAGGCCTTGAAGAACTGGTCAAGACAGACACTCGAGGGCTTATTATCTCCATACCACATGACCCTTGCATAATTCATAGAGATCATCTCAATTGCAGTAACATTTTCATCAATGAAACATCGGAAAGTATCTACTTCTCTTTCAACTTGTTGTAACCCGTGTTCGTTTGCTAACAAAGCTATGGAAATAGAATTTTAAGATTTTTCTTTTTATTTGACACATCCTTATGGCAACCAAATGGAGGTTACAGATGATATTTTCATTGGGCAAACTCTTACAGAACTAAAACAATTGAGAAAATGATTTGATAGGACCAGTGTAACAAACAACGTTAATACCCTAACAAATTACGTTTTGAAACACACATTTCAAAATACAATACATTTTATTCAAAACTGTAAAATTTAATGATCTAAAGTAATCTCAAAAAGTTTATCCAATACATTCCAAAGGTTTCCTTAGGAGTAAAAAATCAAATAATATGAATAAAATATAATGTGAATTAAGTTTTTTGACAGAACAAACGTAAAATATGGGTTATAATGCTCATAAGAATGTTTTGCTACATGCTTAATTTGGAGAAAGAAAACCCAGTATATTATGAATGCCTAATTGTTAAAAAGAGAATTACGCTAGAAGTTCAAATTCTTATAGTGTAATCTACACAAATCTACTTTTATTGTACCTTATTTTAGAGCATGTGGCATACCATGTTCCCACTGTTGTTCTATGTACCGGAACGATCACATTCCAGGTAGCATAGGATAGGACATAATTTTCCGGCTGAGGCCAGTACTATCTATTGAATTACTTTCTACGATGTCAGGAACTAAACATGATCGTATTTGTGTTGCATAGGTCAAGATTGGTGATCTGGGCTTGCAGCAATAGTGGAGAAGAGCCATCATTGCACATTCATTATTAGGGACACCAGAGTATATGGCGCCAGAACTGTACGAGAAGATTACACAGAGTTAGTGGACATATACTGTTTGGAATGTGCTTGCTCGAAATGGCAACCATGGAGATACCGTACAGTGAATGTGACAGCATAGCCAGATATACAAAAGGTGACAGCCGAGTGAAGCCTGAAGCCATGAACAAAGTGAGTGATCCAGAATTGAAGAGCTTCATTGAGAAGTGCATTGGCAACCAAGAGCAAGAACCCTCAGCTGCTGATCTTCTCAAGGACGCCGTTGCCTTTTGAAGATGACGTGTTGAGAGAACCTTTCAGGTTATAGTTCCAAACTCTAAGAGATGTGTTTGAATCATGAAATTTAGGTAAAGATTTGGAAATGAAAGAGAAAGTGGGTGAAATGTGAATGAAATATAACTAATTTTCACCTACCTTTTCCTTTCCTTTTAAAATCATTACCCAAATCCATGATCCAAATATATGCATAAATGTGAAACGTTTTTGAAGGTGTTACTTTTTTCTCAAAACCATGTTTATTTGCAATTGTTTCGTTTCTATATTTCCTCAGGCAATCTGTGATGACACCATCCCATTTCCAATTCTTTTTTTCCATGTAATTGGGTTCAAACCACAACATCTAGCACTTTTTTTTTTGGTCTGAAAATACCTTTTCTTGCCTTCTGGCTAAAGGTCAAGTGTAGTATCAATTTGATATTATTGGCACAAAAAAAGATTTATTGAATTGATGTTCACACTTGTGCAGGTACTCTCAATTCAGGTGACTAGCACATCTTGAATCAAAAACGGAAGCAGTTAATTAACCTAAACCCCGGGCCGAAGCAGTTGAAGCTGAGTAGTCAAAAATGAAGCAAGTTTGAGGGTAATTTGGAATACACAAATTAATGACAAAAACTTCAGAAGGAGAAAACAACGAAAATGTATTCTCGCTTTTATATATTGATAGAATATAAATAACAGTCTCATGTATGTTAATTCAATACTAAGAGGCTGTGTGTAACATATCTTCGTTAATCCAACGGTGAACCAAACCCAGCATCAAATTCAAATTTTGATGAAAAACTTACTTTTTCAAGCTCCAACCGTTGCACTAAAGTCATATCAAAATGAGAATTCAGCAAACAAAACATCAAACTGAGACAAAGACACAGATTTTACCAAATCACTATTACTGACCGTTGAAAGAGGTACACCGATCAACCAGCCGGTTGCCCGGCCGGTTGACCAACCGGTCAACCAGTAAAAGATTCAAACAGTTCAGGAAAAAAAGTTCAAACGGTTAAAAAAAAAAAAAAAAAGGGGGCAGGTGCGCCTATTTGTTCACACCACCCAATCGGTTTAAAAACAGCAAGTGTGCCTGTTTGTTCACACTAAAAATTAGTTCAAACAGTTGAAAAAGAAAAAATTCCTCTAACCGGTCAACCAGCCGGTCAACCGGCCGGTCGACCACCCGGTTGTCCCGGGATAGATTTGGTGAAAGGTGAACCGTTGGAGCGAGTGGTATCAAAGTTGGTGAAATGGGTCATTTTTTACTCAGATTTGATGAAAAATTTGAGTCACCGTTGGAGATGCTCTCAGACCAAATAAATTTGGTGAATGGAACTCTGTTGTTTACCTTTTAAGCACTCGTTTGGGAAATGGGTTGCGTTAGATTAATATAGGCAAAAAAAGAAAAAATTAAATTTTTAATTTAATCAGATAAAATGCTACATATAAATCATAATTATTATTTTTTTTTATAAAAGTCAAAAAAATTAAAAAATTTATTAGAATGTGACTTTTTAATCCCAAACTAAAATAATCAAAAAATCAATCTATATCCCAAAAGAACACTAAGGCCTCATTTGGGAATATGTTATTTTAGTAATTTTTTAGTTCTTTATTTAAAATATAAGGTAAAAAAATTAATATGTTTGAAATGACTTTTTGATTTTTTACGGAAAAAATATAAAAAATAAAAAATAAAAAGAATCTTTAACATTTTAATATAAATTTTATTTGATTAAAAAAATATATTTTATTCATATTTTACATATTTTTTAATTCTTTATAAAAAAAATTTAAAAATAAAAAATAAAAAAAATCTTTAACGTTTTAATATAAATTTTATTTAATTAAAATAAATATATTTTATTCATATTTTACGTACTTTTTTCATTTTCTTTCATAAAAGAATCCAAAAAAAATAATTAAACACACCATTAATAATTTTTTAAGTTTTAAACTACAACAGTGAGTTGTCAAACCGCCTTGAGTCTCTGGTCGCCCCTCACCAGCTTATAATAACAGTCCCCGCCTTTTCCATGCTTGAAGTGTTCGCTTTCTCAACTCCCACACTCTCTCTCTCTCTCTCACTGCCATCCGACACTCAAGGTAAGCTAACTTCAATCCCCGTCGTTTTCTCAATTCTTAATCGGTTTGAAATTTGATAATTGAAACCCTAGAGCCTTGCTCCTGTGTTTTTGATCGTTTCTCGAAATCAATATCGTCTTCTCTGAAAATTTGAGATTTGAGGCCTTAATTTGAACTTTAATGCGATTACTGCTTCATTTTGATAAAATTTTGTTCAATTTGTTTGTATCAGCTGTTATTTCGAAATTTTCAGGTTGATTTCTCACATTTCGGATTTATTACTATAAATTTTAGTCACTACACTACTGTTTGTTAGGTCAACTAAAGCAGTCTTTGTTGGAGATTTTTCTGATTCATTTCTCATATTTCAATCGAATTTCAGTTGAATTTTAGATCAACTTAAGCATTTGTTGTACATGCTAATTGCGTTTTATTTTGGATCGTGTGAATTTGTTTTTCTGCGTTTGTATTGGTTTTTGAATTCCATGTCATTTTTTTAACCAGATTAGAACATGAATGTTGCTGAACAAAACTATAGTATTATCAGAGATTTAATTTTAAAGGTTCAATAATTTACACTTGATGTAAAATGCCTAGTTGTGTTGTTTGTCTTCTGCCATTTTTACTTCACTTTTTGTGTTTTTGATAGCTGATTTTTTTGTTTTGAGTTGTGTTTCTTTATTGTTCATCCTGATTTGATCAGTTGAATCTGTTATATCAGCCTAAAAAAACATCTCTTTGTTAAATTTGCATGTTGCAATTTTTTTAATAATTGCTAGTTCAAACCCTTGTTTCATATTTTGTGATTGCAGACTCAACTTGGTCTTAACATTTTTTGTTTTTTTGTTTTTTTTTTAAATGTTGTGATCTGATTCAAGGTTGTGGCAGATCATCTGAAATTGTATTCGACATTATTTTGAGATGCCATCTAAAAGTCCTGATTCATCCGATCAAGACAAAGAACCATTTGTTGAAGTAGATCCATCTGGACGGTTTGGTCGGTACAGTGACCTCCTTGGTACTGGTGCTGTCAAGAAAGTTTATAGGGCATTTGATCAACGGGAAGGAAGAGATGTGGCATGGAATCAGGTTCAATTAAGGAAGTTCAGCAATGATCCTTCTGTCATCAAAAGGCTTCAGGCAGAGATTGCATTGCTGAAGTCATTGAAGAATGAGTACATTATTGTTCTCTACAGTTTTTGGAAGGACACTGAGCGTAACACATTGAATTTCATCACTGAAGCATGCACGTCAGGGAATCTGAGGGACTATAGGAAGAAACATCGCCATGTGTCAATGAAGGCCTTGAAAAACTGGTCAAGACAGACACTCGAGGGCTTAAATTATCTCCATACCCATGACCCTTGCATAATTCATAGAGATCTCAATTGCAGTAACATTTTCATCAATGGAAACATCGGAAAGGTATCTACTTCTCTTTCAACTTGTTGTAACCCGTGTTCGTTTGCTAACAAAGCTATGGAAATAGAATTTTAAGATGTTTTTCTTTGTTTGACACATCCTTATGGCAACCAAATGGAGGTTACAGATGATTATTTTCATTGGGCAAACTCTTAGAGAACTAAAACAATTGAGAAATGAATTGATAGGACCAGTGTAAACAAACAACGTTAATACCCTAACAAATTACGTTTTGAAACGCACATTTCAAAATACAATACATTTTTATTCCAAAACTGTAAATTTAATGATCTAAAGTAATCTCAAAAGTTTATCCAATATATTTCCTAAAGGTTTCCTTAGGAGTAAAAAAAATCAAATATAATGAATTAAAATATAATGTGAATTAAGTTTTTTGACAGAACAAAACGTAAAAACATGGGTTATAATGCTCGTAGAAATGTTTTGCTACATGCTTAATTTGGAGAAAGAAAACCCATATATTATTGAATGCCTAATTGTTAAAAGAGAATTACGCTAGAAGTTCTTCAAATTCTTAGTGTAATCTACACAAATCTACTTTAATTGTACCTTATTTTAGAGCATGTGACATACCATGTTCCCACTGTTGTTCTATGTACCGGAACGATTCACATTCCAAGTAGCATAGGGTAGGACATAATTTTCCAGCTGAGGCCAGTACTATCTATTGAATTACTTTCTACGATGTCAGGAACTAAACATAATCGTATTTGTGTTGCATAGGTCAAGATTGGTGATCTGGGCTTGGCAGCAATAGTGGAGAAGAGCCATCATGCGCATTCATTATTAGGGACACCAGAGTATATGGCGCCAGAACTGTACGAGGAAGATTACACAGAGTTAGTGGACATATACTCGTTTGGAATGTGCTTGCTCGAAATGGCAACCATGGAGATACCGTACAGTGAATGTGACAGCATAGCCAAGATATACAAGAAGGTGACAGCCGGAGTGAAGCCTGAAGCCATGAACAAAGTGAGTGATCCAGAATTGAAGAGCTTCATTGAGAAGTGCATTGGCCAACCAAGAGCAAGACCCTCAGCTGCTGATCTTCTCAAGGACCCGTTCCTTTTTGAAGATGACCGTGTTGAGGAGAACCTTTCAGGTTGATAGTTCCCAAACTCTAAGAATGTGTTTGAATCATGAATTTAGGTAAAGATTTGGAAAATGAAAGAGAAAAGGTGGGTGAAATGTGAATGAAATATAACTATTTTTCACCTACCTTTTCCCTTTCCTTTTTAAAATCATTACCCAAATCCATGATCCAAATATAGCATAAATGTGAAACGTTTTTGAAGGTTGTTACTTTTTTCTCAAAAACCATGTTTATTGCAATTGTTTCGTTTCTATATTTCCTCAGGCAATCTTGATGACACCATTCCCATTTCCAATTCCTTTATTTCCATGTAATTGGGTTCAAACCATCAACATCTAGCACTTTTTTTTTTTGGGTCTGAAAATACCTTTTCTTGGCCTTCTGGCTAAGGTCAAGTGTAGTATCAATTTGATATTATTGCACAAAAAAAGATTTATTGAATTGATGTTCACACTTGTGCAGGTACTCTCAATTCAGGTGAACTAGCACATCTTGAATCAAAAACTGAAGCAGTTAATTAAACCCCGGGCCGAAGCAGTTGAAGCTGAGTAGTCAAAAACTGAAGCAAGTTCTGAGGGTAATTTTGGAATACACAAATTAATGACAAAAACTTCAGAAGGAGAAAACAACGAAAATGTATTCTCGCTTTTATATATTAGTATAGATATAAATAACAGTCTCATGTATGTTAATCAATACAGAGGCTGTGTGTAATTTTTTAAAATATTCAATGCCAGGGCTAAGAAACAAAATTTCATCGAAATGGGCAAAATGTTTCTGCTTCCTATGGAATAAGAAAGAAAACATCGGTGGAACACTAGAAATGTGTTTCTGCCAAAATGCAATGCAACACTGCAAAAATACCGAAATAATAAGTTGTTTCGATACATGAGAATATTCAAGAATGGTCATTTCAATTTATGTTTTCATGTGAAAAGAAAAGATTTGGAAATAAAAAAATTAAAAAAAATTAAAAACTTAAATTTGTTGAGAATTTGAGACAAAGGGGAAAAAGGAGAAAAGATGAAGGAAAAAATAAAACAAGCATGATTAAGTCATTTACTCTCTTTCTTTGTTGGTGAAAAAGTTTTTCTTTCTGCCTAATGCTAATTTATTAAATGATAAATTACAAATGCATTTACGAGATTTGTTTAAACAAAAAAGTTTGGGGCCCCTTTTTGGGGGGTTTTATGACTCTCAATTTGATTTTGGTCCTTGATGTGTGTATGGGTCTCACATTATGCGTGGTTGGGATGAGAGCGGGCGTTGTGAAGGTCATATATGTGTAGAGGTCTTTATCACAATTGATGACCTGAATTATTAATAAATTATTAAGTTTATTACTAATAGTTTTTAATGATGTTATAAATATATTTCAATTAAAAGTTTATATAATTTTATTGTTGCATAAGAAAGTAGTTAGAAATTTTTTTTTAATTATTAATTCTGTTAAATAAAAAATTGTAACAAAAGGACATTTATAATTTTCAAAATTACAGAAAAAAATCGTATTCTAAACAAATCTCAAAGGGTATATTTGTAATTTATCTTAAATTAAAAATTAAATCTATTCGACAATCGTAACATTTTTATTTGATCATGTTTGTATGTGAAAAAATGAACAGAAAATGTGTTTTTAAAAATAAATTATCTACTTTTCTAGAAATATATACAATAAAATGAAAATATTACAATTGTCGAATCATTTATTTTTTTTGTTGAAACAAATACAATAAAATAAAAATTTTACCATTATTAAATCAGCTAACTTTTTTATTATAAATGATATATACGCATAATTTTACACAATAAACAAATTATCGAAACGGACTTGTTATGAATCCCTCAAACTTGAGAGGAGTCCAATCATTCTTTATTTCTAGCATTTTTACTTTAGCACTGTAGGAAAGGGTGATGCTAGTCTAAGGGCTTATTTGGCATCTTCTATAATATTAGTATATTTTTTAATTTTTTAATTTTTTTAAAATTACCTTATTTTTTTTATTTTTTATATATATTTTCGTAAGAATTCAAAAACACAATAATTTAAATGATCTTAAACAACTCCTAAATTTGAGACTTCAACACTTTTTTGAGCCAAAAACTTTGAACACAAAAGTTTTTAAAGAGCACGTTACAGTGACAAATCAAACTATTCAAGCAATTATTGAGATTGGCTATATAACTTCTTGTTCACCTAACTACTTTTGCTAGCTTAAGGCTAAAATGTAATTTTCTCTTTCATTTTTTTTTTGTCTTTTTTAAATTTTTTAAAAATTTGTCACTTTTTTTTTCTTCGTAGGTTATTCTAATGTAGAAAGATCTAAAAAGTAAAATTAATTTGAAAAACTTAAAAAATTTCACTTAAAAGAAATGAACTTTTTTTGGGTCCTTTTTTAATTTTTTTTTTTTAATTCCTAGTTTCTTTTTTCTTTTTTTTGTCTAGTAAGATTTAAAAAATATTTTTAAAAAAAAAAAAAAAAAAAAACCTCACCAAAGATGGAAATTTAGTCAACAAAAAAAAAAAGAAAAGTGTCAAACCAATTTTTGAGTCAAACTCAATTGTTTAAAACAAGAAGTACTTGATGCAAAGACAAATTAAACTATTGAAGCACCAATTTAATTGGCTTTGAGGGTTCAACATATGCATAAACTATCACATGAATGATCACATGGAGATTGATTGATAAATACCCATGCGCAGGGCCAATTAAACCCAAACTTATATTTCATGATGACCCACATGCTTTTTTGCATTGCACATCTTTGAGGTTTTTGTTTTGTTTTGTTTTGTTTTGTTTTTTTCATAAGCAAGGAGAAGAAAATTTTATTGATAGAAATCATCAAACAGGTAGATAATATATCAATAAAGTGAAAAAAAAGGTAAGTGCAAAATGTATCATAGTGCACATCTTTGTATGAGTTGCTAGTCATAGTCTCGAGAAGTTATTTGCTGGTCTTGGGATACGGCCACGTGATACCCAATGTGTTGTGATTAGTGGAAGAGGTGATATTCATGATTTTGTATTGGGTGATTGAGAAATAACAAGGGATATAATAATTTATGATTGATCAGAAATATGATCACGTGGTGTCCTTAGACCACGATATAATTTTTTCATAGTCCCACTTAATTTTTTTTTTTTCACCTCCAATTAGTCTTCGTTTGGGAAGAGCTAAAATAGCTTGACTTTTTGGCTATTTTAGCTTGATTTTTTTAGCCTCGTTTGATTTTTGTTTTTATTTTTGTTTTTTTTAATTTTTGTGAAATAAAAAATATAATGATTATAGTTTAGATGTGACATTTTGTCTTATTAGCATATGTAGCCAATTTTGTCTTTTGTGTTTTTTTAGCCAAAAAGCCAAAGCCAAAACCAAACATAGCTTTAATTTAAAATTTGTTAAAATTCTTTAAAATCAAAATTAACTCCCAAGCCTCTCAAATTCTAACCCTAACGCCACGCCAAACCCTTTCGCATCCATTCATGCCATCGGCCAACCTCTCCCATCTTCTTGAATACCAATAGAGAGAGAGAAGAAGAAAAAAGAAAGAAAAAAGCAAAGATCGTAAGGGTAAAGGATGGGCGTTGTAGTTGTAGAAGGTTGCAAGGATGAGAGTGTCGTAGCATGAGAGGTTGAGAAGGGGCTGGAGGGTGACAGCTAAGGGTGGTAGTGGTGATGACTAATCGTTAGGGCTGGAAGGAGATTAAGGTTAGGATTTGGATAGTAACAAGGATATAAATAAATTTTGCAAGGTAGAATTGAGCTTGTTTGGTTCTAATTTTCAGAAAAATAGTTTTTAAAAAATTTTACTTTTTAATTTTTCGTATTTTTTTTAATATTTTAAGTATTTTTTTAAAAACATTTAGACACACCTAACATAAATACATTTAAAATGTATAATATTTGCGATTTTTTTTTTTAAAAATACACTAAATACCAACAAATACAAAAAAAATACGAAAATTCAGTACATTTTTTAAAAATATTTTTATGCATTTATTAATTTTTTAAAATATTTTTTCACAAATATTTTACTATTTAGATACATCTAAGTAAATTTGCTTAAAATTTTAAAAATATTCACTAAAAATAAAAATAAAGTATGAAAAATAAAATAACTCAATTTTTGAAAAATTGAATTCAGAAAACTGAAATCAAATATACTGACTGTGATTTATGAATAAATAAATAATGAAAGTGAGAGGGGAGTTTGCGCGAAGCAAACGGGCCAAGCTAGTTATGGCTGAGGCCTTGCCGTTGGGTTACACGACCGAGTTGGCATAATCGACGACAGTTTGGCCGAGGTTCTGAATCACACGGCTGAGTTAGCCCGAGGTCCAAAAGTTGGACCGGGCTAGTTGTTCGGCGTGGATCATTAGCCGAGCTAGTTGTTCGGCGTGGATCCTTTGTCGAACTAGGTGAAGCGATGGTGTTTTCAACCGAACTAGACGCACCTGTTACACACCAAGGTTGAGCAAGATCAGCGGGGATGAATGGGTATGGTTGAAGCAGTCGGCTAGACGCCTCAGATTTTAGCTGGTCAAGAGTAACGCAGTTCCGAAGGGCGGGTTGTAGCGCCCTGTAGGAAGTAACTCTGTAGGATTTGCTACGTGGCCCAATCGGAATGCAAAGAGAGAAATCCACTAAAGTTGCGCGTCAATACCGTTTGGCGGTTTGGCCAAATATTGTTTGGCAGTATTGACGCATACACGTATAAGAAATAAAGAGAGCAGTACAACCACGTGTCCAGAAAAGGACAAGCAGAGTAGTGCATGTAGAAACCATTTAAATTGTGCGGCGACTCTATACAACAGGTCTGGAACCCTTACACACTGAGACCAGGGCCGGCCCTGAGAATTCAGGGCCCTAGGCGAGCTTCTAAGTTTGGGCCCCTTCCCTTGTACATACGCCCAAAAAATATATATATATTTGCTAGTGGCCACTCAAGTTTGCTTGAGTAAATTTGGACCCTTTGTTTGTTTTTTCAATTGGACTAATTTTTTTATTTGTTTTTAATATAGGCCTGCAACATGTTTTTATTTGGGCCTTTTATAGTGGGCTGTTCTATTTTAGTGGGCTTCTATTTTAGTGGGTTGTTTTGTTTTTGAGGGCCTCTAACAATAATTGGACTTTATTTAAAACTTGATAGTATAATGGATCTTCAAAATTTGGGGCCCTATTTTGGGCCAAATTTTGGGAGCCCTAGGCACAGGCCTTACTCGCCTTAGCCCAGGGCCGGCCCTAGACGTGTGCTTGTTTTAAAAAATGTGTTGTACACACCGTACATGAGGAAAAATTTGATGTCAAGTTATTTGCTCGACAAAGCTGGTTTCAAGCAGACTATTAAATCTGACCAATATGTAATCACTAAAAAAGGCATATTTGTGGGGAATGGGTATGCCTGTGATGGAATGTTTAAATTAAGTGTTGAGAATAAGAAAGCACATGTTTCTGTTTACATGCTGTCTTCTATGAATTTTTGGCATGCTCGTCTGTGTCATATTAATAGCCGATATGTGGGAGTCATGAGTAGTTTAGGATTAATTCCCAGACTAACAAATAAGTTTGAGAAATGTGAAGTTTGCAGTCAAGCAAAAATAACTAAAAGGCCTCACAAAAGTGTGGTGAGAAATACTGAATTATTAGAATTAATTCACACTGATTTATGTGAATTTGAAGGAATTTTAACACGGGGTGGAAATAGATATTTTATCACTTTTATTGATGATTTTTCAAAATACACTTATGTATACTTGTTGAAAAATAAAAGTGACGCTTTTGAAAAATTTAAAGAATTCCTTCTTGAAGTTGAAAATCAATTCGGTAAAAAGATTAAAAGGTATAAGAGTGATAGAGGCCGGGAGTATGAATCTTTTGGATTCAACTCGTTTGCTCAGTCTTTGGGAATAATCCATGAAACTACTCCACCATATTCACCTGCATCTAATGGTGTAGCAGAAAGGAAAAATAGAACTTTAATTGATTTAACAAATGCTATGCTAATTGAAGCAAGTGCTCCTTCAAATTTGTGGGGAGAAGCAATTTTAACTGCATGTTATGTTATGAATAGAGTGCCACATAAAAAAACAAAAGTTACACCTTTTGAGTTGTGGAAAAGGCATAAGCCAAATTTGATAATCCAAATCATTTAATGTGTAAAACTCGTCGAGTATTATAAACCTATGAAAAATCACGTTGATCAGATATTAATAGTTATTTGATTAAATCAGTTTCGTATAAAAAAAATAGACGGTGAACAAATTAACGGTTAACAGAAAACTGATTCGATGAGATAACTATCAATATCTGATTAAAGTGATTTTTTACAAGCATATAGTACTCGATGAGTTCTACACATTGAATAATTCGTATTATCAAAACAAAACTCGTAATAAGCCTTTACGAATCTAGCAACACCCTCCAATTTGATCTAAAACGGAAGGAAAGCTATTCACTTTTTTTAACCCAATTAATTGGCATCTCCAGTTACCGTTAACCTCAAACCATTTCAGATTGGTATTAGGTAAAAGATAACTCGGGCAAGAGAGAGAATCATATTATTATTTTCTTGAGTAAATCACACTTTAAATATTTTTATTTTGCTATATATATGATTTCATGTTGATAGTAACCAAAAAGTTTGACTTTGAACCAACCTCACCAACCTGGCTCAGCTAGAACCCAAATATTATAATTGGATTAGTTTCAGTTTCTAATATATTTGTCTTAAATTTAGGGTCAAGCTGGGATTTTTGTTTGAAATTTACAATCCCAAAAGTCCTTTTGTCCACTTGAAAAAATAATAATAATTTTTTAAAAATATTCATCAATCAATAATTTTTTTTTCCTCCCAATTCTCTATTTCTCTTTGAATGGACACACCATTGAAATTTCTCACTTAACCAAAAACTGACTTTCAGTCACAAGGAAGGAAAAAATCAACCAAATTAAAGAAAATTTTCCAAGAGACAATTCCACAAAATTTAGTAGCAATAATGACTGTATTTATAACTAATATATGGTCACAGTAAGAAGATTTACCAAGATCGAAGCAAAGTTTAATTAAGTCTCCTTTTGACTGATAATTTTATTATTATTACATGTTTAGAGGAATGTGTTGCTTCATTTCTAAGGACCTCACACTGTAATTCTACTTATATTTAAGGATTTGCAACTACATAACATCATATAAGTATTCAAAGAAACCAAAATAATAATAATTAGAGAAAATAACATCAACCAATCTAATTCATACTAAAAAAATCGCAAATTTTAGGTCAATGCAACATACCCATTTATCACCCACCGAAAAAAAAAAAAAAAAAAAAACACCAACTTTAGTCATTCTAAAAACAAGTCCGATTTTGTTCACACACTTATCTTGATTGGTTAAGAATAATAGGACCTACTATTTGGATGAAGTCATCACATATTGAATATAAGGTCCACATATTTAGACCAATTATGTTTTGTGTATTGTTGACGCGTTAAAAAAGTGTGTGAACAAATTCATTTTCTCTCAAAAGCTTTTAAAAACGCTAAAAAAAATCTAAAAATAAGCCAAACGAATTAACTTTTTTATTGACTTATTTCCAACCAATAAACTAACTTTGTAACTAATTCATAAAGAAAGGCTTAGGCTAAAGGTTAGCCTAAACCTACACAAGCAGTCTTAGGATAGAGGGGTTTGTCTTGAGATAAACTGTAAATCTAAATATATTATGTTAGCTTTTTTTCTGGTCTTAACATATCCAAAATTTACTCTGCATGAATAAATCCAATGTGACCCAAAAACTTTGTAGATGAAACACTCTTTTACATAATATCAGGATTCAAATCTCGTCGATGCGTGTTGTAATTTTGGCTTCCCCATTTCAATTTTCACCCCCATTGTAAATAATACTAATAATAAATAAATAATCATACACTTATTAGGGGGCAAAACAGATTTAAAAAATGGTATGGGGATTGAGACATGCTGGGAGTAGGCAAGCAAAACACAGTCAACCCCCAAAAACCAAAGACCCCAAAAAACTCAAAACTAATTCCCATTTTTGAGAAGCCGTGCCGTCTCTTCTTGGATGTTAACTTTTACTACAAACAAAGCACACTAAACTTGTTCCGCACTCCTTCAATTTTCCTTCCTACTTTCTCACCCTTTTTCTCTTTCCCCATACACCTTTTTCATCTATCTTTGTGATTTCTTACCCACACACTTCTTTATTACAATTATTTCAGACTTCACTTTTTACTTTTATGTTGTGTTTGGTTTGGAGATTTGAAAAGGGATTTACAAAGAAAAATGAAAAAAATAGGTGAAATGTATATACCTGCATTTCACCTAGTTTCACACAACTTTTCCCTTTTCCTTTCCAAATTCCTCCCAAATCCTTCAATCAAACATAACATTACAGTTCACTTTGTGCAGTTTGCCTACTTGTCATTTGAAATAAGCACATAATTCTCAAGGATTTTGTGAAATTGTCAACAGTAAAAGTAAAAAACATGTCAAATATAAGAGGATTATGTATTCATATCCAAATGCCAAAAAGTAAACCCGCATATAGAGCAAAGCATAAGGGGATAAAATGCATTTTGAGTTCCAAAAAAATAACAAAAATGCTCGAACTCAAAGTTTACACAATGATGATCTTTATATGCAACTGTATTTTAGTCTTTTTGTTTAAACCATTGATAGACTTATTTTCAAATGTTAGGCGTTAAAATGCACATAGAGTAAATCACATGGAGATGAAGTAAAATTTGCCCGAACAATTATATGTGAATACCCACACCAATCTGGGATGGAGGTGAGAATTTCGTACAAATTTTTTTGTCCAAAGCCAAGATAAATGGCACAGGATTCCAACTACCCAACCCTCGAGAACATTTTTGAAGCCTTAAAATTAGGATTTTGAGCTCACTCGTGTGCCTACAACTTTGACTAAAATATTAAAACAAAAGGTAAAGAAATCACACGAGTGAGTGAACAAATTTAAGTGCTCAACACCCCTCTTTTTTCTCATTCATTTCCACTGGTTTTCTGGGTTCTAGAAGCTCTACAAGTAACTTATAGTATGAAGAGACAGTCATATATACAGAAGACTCACATTCATTCTTGACTAAAAGTTCAGCTGTGATTGCCATTAATTGTTCCACACATTCTCTGTATCTGAAGTCTTTTCATGAGCCTTTGTAATGGACACAGCTAGCCTCAAAGACAGTCCAATTCTCTCCAGTCCTTTCTCTTCTCCAAATGTTAGTGCCCTGCTCAAGATCAAGATAATTTCTAAGTAAGATGATCGGTTCAATCGTTTTTTTGTGTTTCAAAGCATATTTGTGTATGTGTGTCTGTTCTTGAAGTATCTAATCTACACAAATACAATTGGCATATTGCAGGATCCAAGAGACCGGTTTACCTGTTTCTGTTCGCGTTCAAGTTGCTGATAGGACCTTTAACCTGCACAAGGTAAGATGATCATGAACTCTGAAGTCAAATTTGAAGTTTTTCTAGGAGAATGTTAATGCAATTTAACTGTTAGAGTAATTCTCATTAACCTGTTTAAATAGTAAAACTTACAGTATTGATTGTGAAAGTATATTTTGTTTTGAGCAAAGAGTGATTTCTTGAACAAATTTTTGGGGATCTTGTATGAAAAATACTTTCCTCAGTGTGTTAAGGAGAGAAAAGGAATGGAGTTAGTGGCATTAATGCAAGGTAACAAAACTGTAGCGGAGTATGACAGTTAGTTTACAGAATTACTTCTTTTTGCACCCTATATGGTAGACACAGATTTCCATCGAGCCATGAAATTTGAGGATGGGTTGAGAGGGAATTATCGAGGTTTGGGTTGATGTTTTGAGACTCCTACCCATGTTGGAGTGTTAGAGCACTTTCTGAAGTTAGTACAACAGAAAATTTGCGTAAACTTGGCAAAATAAATTTTTCAGAACTTAATTGAATTTTGTAATTAGCAGTTTACCTTACAATGCATTTTCCATCGCTATTTTGCAGTACCCACTTTTTTCCAAGAGCGATAACTTCAAGAGAAATTTGAACAACTCAAATGAAGTTAAGCTGCCTCAAAATTTCCCGGGAGGACCAGAAGCCTTCGAGATGATTGCACTGTTCATATATGGTTCCTCCACATTAGTTGACCCTTTCAATGTAGCAGTCTTGCGTTGTGCAGCAGAGTTTCTTGAAATGACAGAAGAGTATGGCTCTGGCAACCTCTGTGACCGCTTTGACTTATATCTAAACCAGGTGGTCTTGCAAAGTTGGGATGATACCTTAATTGTTCTCCAAAAGTGCCAAACATTGCTTCCATGGGCAGAAGAGCTTCTCATTGTGAGCCGCTGTATCGAGTCTCTTGCTTTCATGGCTTGTATGGAGATTCTTGACCCAGAGAGGAGACGGGACAGACCAATGGTTACGCTTGAGGCTATGACCGGTCAAGCCTGGAGCTGTGAAACAGTTAAGGACATACTGAGCCAGGATTTGTGGATCAAGGATCTAATTGCTTTGCCATTTGACTTCTTCAAAAGGGTAATTGGGTCTTTGAGAAGACAAGGAATGAAAGAGAAGTACATGAGTCCGATTATTGTCTTCTACACGAACAAATGGGTACTTTCAAAGAAGACACGACAGTTTTGGGAGAACTCGAGTGAGAGAAATGGAGATGATGATGATAGTAAGAACAGAGCTTCAGTTCTCCTCTTGGAGGGTATTCTTGATTTGCTACCAATGGGTGAGAAGGCTAGTAAAGTAATCCCTGTCGGTTTCTACTTCTCATTGCTTTCTAGGTCTCTTGAACTCGGTTTGAGAAGTGAAAAAATCTCAAAGTTGCAAGATCAGATTGCATTGGCTCTACCTTTGGCACAAGTGGAAGATTTTATAATTCCTGTTAATGGAACTGAGTCCATTTCTTCTAGCATAGAGTTGACTACAATGGAGCGCATATTTGCAACGTACACGCCATCCAACATGGAGTCAAATCACACTCCTTTGCCAAATAATTCCATTGTCGCTGAATTGTGGGATTCTTATCTTTCACATATAGCTCCCGATCCAAAAATGGGGCCTAAAAGATTCATGGAACTTATCGAAACCATTCCAGTATCTAGCAGACAAAGCCATGATCATCTATACAGGGCACTGAACGCCTTCCTACAGGTAAGGTTTCATATGTTTCAGCTCATTTGAACTATCTGAAATCAACATAAACCCTATTTCTAAATTAAATCCGAGAAATTTGGCTAGACAAGATGATAAGATTTACATTGTAGACCTAAAGCAAATCATATTTTACACAAAAATGAAGCGTCTATATAGGCCATTTCTTAGGCTCAATCTTAATTAATTCAAATTGACATTGTTTCACCTTATCAATGAGATCATAAAAATATAGAACTTTCGAATCCACGTTACAGCCTAATTTCTAAGACCCAGTTCTCTGATCTTCAGGCACACCAAGGCATATCACAAGATGAGAAAGGGTTAGTGTGCAAATACCTCAACTGCCAGAAACTATCACAAGAGATGTGCATTGAAGCAGTTCAGAATGAGTTGATGCCACTGCGTCTGATTGTCCAGGCACTTTTCGTTCAGCAACTAAACACGCACAAAGCCTTCAAAGAATGCTCAGACTCATTTAGGTATGCACATTGTGGGGAATTCTCCGGCAGCCTCTCAAGCTCGAGATATGCAAACTCCAAAAGCCAGAACCTTGGCGAGAGTCCATATATAGACGGAGGTGAAGCAGTCAGTAGTAGACCCCTCGGCTTCTTGCTACATGTTAAATAAATTGATGTATATTATTGATTGATGTGTTACAAGATTGTTGTATATCTGTATTGTATGTGATAATTACAAAGAGAAGGAACTCTCTCTTTATAGAGAGAAGAATGAAACATTGGATACCAACAAGACCCACTATCACCGAAAGCAACAAAAGGAATAAAGCTAAAGCTATACAATTTATATACTAAAGCTAAAGCTAATTAACAATTAACAATTATATATTAACACTACAAAAAGATGCAGCAATTCAAAGGTCTGAGTTGTCGAGGAAGGAATATGAATCCACAAGCTTCAGAATTCAGAGTCTTGAACAAGAACTCATGTCCTTGAAGAAAACCCTTCAAATACAGAACATCTCTACAAAAAAAGAACCGGTTCCAAAGAAATCAGAACCAAATTCTACCAATCCGCAGGGCTTGAGGCCTTATGGTTTGGAGGGAAGAACATTGAGCAAGAAGAGAAACCCACTTGGACAAGTGAGTGCTTGCATTGGTTCTGTGAATTTTGCTTCCCACAAAAAGTATGCGAGCAGATTACTGAAGGTGTTTCGTAGAATAAGTTTATTTGGGAGAGGGAAAACAAAGAACAAGCCAAGTGCCTCTGCCCTATGGCCCTAGTTAATGTAACACGAGAACTATATAGGTTTGTGATGTATGATAACTAAATCTGCAAAAATAGCCAAATTTAGCCAATGATCAAATAAGCATATTTAAGTTCATGCCAACATGACATATATAACTGAGAGCGGACTATTAATTACTCTCATTCATACAAGTATGTATGCAATTATATGTATGCAAATGCATAATATGTGCATTTATGCTTGTGTCATGCATTTGTTCTATACTTTGGCAATATTTAACATTTAGTGACCAAAGGGCAAAAAAAAAAAAAAAAAAGGAAGAGTTAGAAAGAACAAAACTACGAGGATACACACATGCAACTTATTACTGATAATAAAATAGGTGAGTGGAATGTATGCTTTCCACTACGTTGACAGAGGCGTACACATTATGTAACTTATATGGTAAGAACTGCTTTTATTTTCCACAATGAAAAAACAATGTAAATTCTATAATTTCGCCAAGCCACTTTACATGATTTATTGAATTTCTTAATTAGACTTGATTTCATCTTCTTATGCATTACAAAAATGTAAATAATTCTATATACTTTCTGCATTAGATAGCAAATTTATTTTATTTTTATTTTTTTTCTAAGAGAAAATGAAAGCGCAACATTCCCTTCAACAGGTTAATCCTATTTCAAAAGGTAACAAAAAGCTCAAAAAATAAAAAAGGTTTTTTTGTTGAGCCACAGTTTAGTGTTAGCAGGATTATAATATCTCTTCATTGTGGAAACCGAATCAGCCTATATTACATAGACATCCACCGCTGTATAGTATGCATCCACAGTTATTAGGCTGATGCATCCAACAGGTACCTCCAAGGGCAATGTGATTTGGAATTGACAAAAAAATAGTGATAAAAATACAACGCATGCTTAATAAAGCAAGTCAAAAAACACTCACATAGTCTAGAGATAAAGCTAACATTTTTCTACGTGTTGCATGACAAAAACACCCACTACACAACCATAGTGCTATGTAAAATGGTAGTAGCTCTGGGTATAAACAAACCCAACTCCAAATTAGTGCAAACTAGCAAAATTGGAGTGAACATGAAGAACTCTTATGCTGTGTTTGGTTGGAGTTTTTGAGGTGGGATTTGGAAAAGGAATGAGAAATGTAATCCTATTTATGTTTGGTTATAATAAAAAATATATGGGAAAAGAAAGGGGGTGAGAAATAAATAAAGAAATAGGATACCTTTTAGGACATCAATTCTATTTCATAACCAACACAACCAAACATAGTTGGGATTTGGAATTCTATTAATTCTTTCTCCTTTTCCTTTCATTTCCATTTCCCTTCCCAAATCCCCCAACCAAACACAGCGTTAGTAGTAACATCCATGATGTGAATGACACAATGATTCATCACATCCCTCTAATCTTTGAAATATTTGATAGAAAACAATGCACAATTATCTATTAATAACATTTCTATTCACGTTCATCACAGATCAACTGCATGCCTGCATCACCATCTTCTTTGCCATCTTTAAAACATAAACTAGAAGTACTCAAGTGCTAAATATTGATACAATATAAAATAAACTTTCTATATATACATATGACAAGGTACCATAGAAACATTGCAAAATCCAAATTCGAGATGTTATGCAAACACCTTGACTAAAATACAAATAGCCCAAAAAACTATTAGGCTGTGAATTAGCTAGATATGTTTCTAAGCAACTGCAACTTCCTCCTGATAAGAGTCCGTTTGTGCTTTACTACAAGATTCCAGAGTATCCCGTGCTGATTCGATGACAACCTGCCCATTGACATAGTGCTGGCGGCAGACAGGCATATGACAAAAACACCCACTACACAACCATAGTGCTATGTAAAATGTAGTAGCTCTGGGTATAAACAAACCCAACTCCAAATTAGTGCAAACTAGCAAAATTGGAGTGAACATGAAGAACTCCTAGTAGTAACATCCATGATGTGAATGACACAATGATTCATCACATCCCTCTAATCTTTGAAATATTTGATAGAAAACAATGCACAATTATCTATTAATAACATTTCTATTCACATTCATCACAGATCAGCTGCATGCCTGCATCACCATCTTCTTTGCCATCTTTAAAACATAAACTAGAAGTACTCAAGTGCTAAATATTGATACAATATAAAATAAACTTTCTACATATACATATGAGAAGGTACCATAGAAACATTGCAAAATCCAAATTCAAGATGTTATGCAAACACCTTGACAAAAATACAAATAGCCCAAAAAACTATTAGGCTGTGAATAAGCTAGATATGTTTCTAAGCAACTGCAACTTCCTCCTGATAAGAGTCCGTTTGCGCTTTACTACAAGATTCCAGAGTATCCCATGCTGATTCGATGACAACCTGCCCATTGACATAGTGCTGGCGGCAGACAGGCATATAGACATCAGAACCACCAATCAGCTCAGTCTTTGTCTCATTAGTCTTCCTTAAGGTAAAAAAAGCCCGCTTGCCACAGAACTCGCACCGAGCTGTCAGTTTGGTTATGGAATCAGCCAGGGGTATTATGTCAAGCACTGAGCCAAAGGTCCTTCTGCAATAAACATTTTGATTTCACATTATAAAAAATAAAAAAATATATTAACATGGCAAAAAAAAAAACAAAAATTAATGCAGCATCAAAATTGAGTAGCAGGCAAGGAACTCTGCAACAGATGTAAGATTACCTCAAGTAATCCCCATCCAGGCCAGCAACTATAACAATTTTCCCATCGCAATCAGCAGCCTTGCAGCAGAAATCATAAAGGTCATCAAAGAATTGAGCTTCATCAATGCCAATCACATCCAGCTGTCAGCACATACCACAAATTAGAAGATGAAAAAATCACTGCAAATACCGAACTTAGAACATAAAATACCAACGAGTTAAAATCATTTTTAAGGCTTGAGTATTTTGTAGCTCATCCTAAATCTTCAAAAACAATGTAATGAAATTCCAAACTCTACAAATTTACCAGAAATTCAAGGGCTTTTCCATGGATGTGACCCAAGTGATTCTTCAAACATGCTAGCCACACACTGGCCTATCACATGGATTATTTAATTACCAATTGAATGGCAGTTTAATCAGACCATTATTTGTTTTCATACATGATTGAACCCCATGAGTTAAATCCTGGCTCTGCTTTAGGTTACACCATTACCAATCACCACAGCATGAACTTGTGTGATCTTAAGCCAATGTAGTAGTCACAACAAACAATCAAACTGTACCTGTACAGAACCATTACAATTGATGGCAATATAACCTCAATAGCAATAATTACTAGCCACTGAACCCATAGAACAACCAGGACAACATAGACTCAGATTTATTTGACTCGCATCAATCAACATTTCCCCTCTACTCTTTTATCTACTTTTTTTATTTTTCTACATATTTTTTTATAAAAAAAATCAAAAAATTCACTTTAAAACATCTCAAATCAACTTAAAAATTTGTACTTTAAAATACCTTGTCATATGCCTCTGCTCCAAATTTCTGTTTAAAGGACAACAGATTTGGCAGTGCCCAACATGGAAATTTTGTCCCATCATGGGTCACAACTGAATCAACTGCATATCTTGTATCCTTGCTTGACTTTATCATTGCAACACTTCTACACACACACAATTGACCCCTCAAAAAACATTTAAAATTAAATGAAGAACCTTTATACATTCAACATAAATTCACATCCTTCAAACTTAAAATTCTTTTGCCCTACTATAATTAATTAGCATCATAATTTATACAATTACGATACAACTGATCAGAATAACTAAATTAAAGGGACGTTTGGCAATTGGCTAAAATAGCCCCCAAAAAAAAGCTGGTACAAAAAGGCCTCATTTGGAAAATAAGTTGGGACTAATTTAGGATTATTTTTAAAAATTGATTTTTCGGCTTTTTCTTTTTAACTTTTTTTAAAAACATGTAAAAAATAAATAAAAATAATATAACCCAAAATAAGTTCAAAGTAAATTTTTTAAATTTTAATTTTAACCAAGTTTCTAAATCAACTAAATGATAAAATAAGCTAAAATATCAATAAAATAAATTATTAAATTCAAATTATAATTATTTATTTTTTTCACAAAATTATAAAATAAAATTAAATAAAATTTTTAAAAACTAATAATTCTTTCCAAACGAAATTTTTTTAACCAGCCAAAAATAGATTTAAAAAAAAAAAATCAAACTAAAAAAAGTTCTTTCAAACGAAGGCAAAATCAAACTCATTCCCATTCTCCCTACTTTTTACACGCCTTTATGTACAAATCAAAAAATCTCAAAAAAGACAAAAAATTCCCAAACAACCCCGAACCTTAAATTTGATCCCTCCCCCCAAAAAAAAAAAGAGTTAAATACCGGCCATTGTTGACTTCAGATTTGATTCTGCGAAGAAGAGCAGTAGTTTTGCCGGCAAACATTGGCCCGACAATGACATGAACCTCACCGGAAGGGCGGTGAGACAGACCCATCCGATCACTCCTGTCGGCGGATGAGGGCAGAGAGTGTGGGGATTTGAAAGAAGACATGGAATGATTTAGAGAGAGAAAGCTAGAGTTTGAGAGAGACTGAGAGATTTGAAAAAAAATTGGGGAGTGTTTAATATGTAGAGAGAGGAAGCTTGCGAAGGAATATGAGGAAAAAGTCTTCATATCAGACGAATGGGTTTGAAATTTGAGGGTGTATTTGATTTGTATTTTGGGATAAATTAAAAATATATATATATTGGGGGAGAGGGGTTTTAAATGTTTTTGATTTGTTTGGTTATATATTTTAAAAATAATTTTAATATATTAATTAGGGGTTGTTTGGGGTGTCTTAAATAAGTGTATTTTTTGTCTTTTTGGACTAAAAAATTGAAGTTGAAAATATGGATGTTTGGGTTAACTTTTTGACTTTTTATGAAAAAATGTGTAATAAAAAATTGTAAAAATTGATTTGTAGGAAAAAATTCAAATTGGGAGTTGTGCAGCCGTAATTGTTGACTTTTGGTGAATAGTGTTAACTTTTTAACTTTTTGAGTAACTTTTTGACTTTTTGGCTTTTTTACAAGTTCCCAAACTTGGCCTTAGTATATCAATTGATGATATAATATGATTTAAGATATTTTTAATATTTATAATTTATATAATAAGTGGAGTCAATAATAATATTATAATTAGTGTTGGTACACTAGTTAATACATTAATTTGTGCACATAGAACCACTCTTTAGAATAATACTATATGTACCAATTAGTGCATTAACTAGTGTATTAATTGATGATAGGACACAATTTAGAGTGGTGCTATATGCACTAATTAATGTACTAATTAGTGTACCAATACTAGTTATGATATTATTATTGACTCTACTTATTATACAAATTATAAATACTAAAAACATCATCGATTGATACCACTCTTTTAGAATAATGTTATATTGACCCCACTTATTGACACCACTCTTTTAGATATATACTAACAATGTAGGAATGTTTTGAGAAATTAGTAAAAAAATTAATTTTTTGAATTTTTTAATTTATTTTGTCATTTTGTGGGTAAGTTATGTGAGAGGTGATGTGACTCAAAATGGTTAAAAAAATGTAAGCTAGCTTTTTACCAGCTTCCCAAAAGACTCCGTAATAATATTATTATTAATTTCACTTTGGATGCGTTTGTTTAGACGGACTGGATAAAGGGAGATTGTAATCCATCGGATTATTAGTCCTGGGATACATTGTCCCGAGACTATTTGGTTGGATTAAATTTGTATCTTATATTTGTTTAGTCATGAGGTTAGATGTCTGAATTGGACTATTTTTAGTTGTCCAATATTTGTTTGGGACATTATGGAGAAGGAAAAATACTCAAATGACTATTTTATCATTTTCAATTATTTACTAAGTAATAGCAATATTAAACATAGCTTTAATATTTTAATTATTTTTAATATTTTAATTATTTTTAACTAGATTAAGGCCAAGTTTGGGGAATCTCAAAAAAGTCAAAAAAGTTACTCAAAAAGTTAAAAAGTTATCACTATTCACCAAGAGTCAACAATTACGGCTGCACAACTCCCAATGCTAATTTTCCCATACACATTAATTTATACAAATTTTTAATACACATTTTTTCATAAAAAGTTAAAAAGTTAATCCAAACATTTATATTTTCAACCTCAACATTTTAGGCCAAGTTTGGAAAGTCCATAAAAAGCCAAAAAGTTAAAAAGTTACTCAAAAAGGTAAAAAGTTAACATTATTCACCAAAAGTCAAAAATTACGGCTGCACAACTCTCAATCCTAATTTTCCTCTACACATTAATTTTTACATACACATTAATTTATACAAATTTTTAATACACATTTTTTCATAAAAAGTCAAAAAGTTAACCCAAACATCAATATTTTTTTCCTCAATTTTTTGTCCAAAAAGGCAAAAAGTGCACTTATTTAGGACACCCCAAACAACCCCTTAGTCTAAAAAGACAAAAAGTGCACTTATTTAGGACACCCCAAACAACCCTAAATAAAAATTTGTTTTATTTTATTTTTTGCACAATATTTTAATTTATTATTTTCAATTAAATTAAATTTATAATTTATATTTTTTATTTAATACATAATTTTAAATTAACGACAATAAAAATAATTTTATTTAATTTATAAATTAAATTTTCAACAACACTAAAAAAAATTAATTTATAAGGCCATAATTTATAATTTATAATTTATATTTTTTATTTAATACATAATTTTAAATTAACGACAATAAAAATAATTTTATTTATAATTTAATTTAATATGTAAATTTAATTTTTTAACAACACAAAAAAAAATTAATTTATAAGGCCATAATTTATAATTTATTATTTTTAATTAAATTTAATTTATAATTTATAATTTATAGTTAAAATTTTTTATTTAATATATAATTTTAAATTAAAAAGACTAAAAAAATAATTTATAAATGTTCAAAAGACTATTTTATCCTTTTTTAATTGTTTGCTAAGTAATAGTATAGAGGGTAAAATGGACATTTCACAAAATAATCCCATGGAATACCAATTCTATGGTTTCTATCTCAGCCCCTATGGGATAAGATAGTCCCATATTTGTGGGTAGTCCGGAGCCAAAAAAAAATGAAACAATGACTATTAATCCGGTGGGACTAATAGTCCAATCTCATCCCCTAATCCTTCAAAACAAACACACCCTTATTGACACTATTCTTTTAGAATAATGCTATATGCACTAATTAGTACATTAGTTAGTACACTAATTGGTGTATGTAGCATCACTCATTTTGATTATAATTGAGTAAATGCGTGAGAAAAAAAGTAATTAAGAAAGAAAGAGGAGGGAGAAAAAATAATTAATTGATGTATAAAAAAGAGCAAGTGATTTTAAAAAAATTTAAACCAAATAAAATTTTTAAAAAATTTCTCAAAAAACTATATACTATAAAACAAAACAAGTCCTGTCTTTGAATTGTTCAAAAGTTTGAAAGTTGGAGGGAAGGAGTTGTTTGTTTTCAAAGGGTTTTTTGGGTTAGTGGATTTTGGAGGGAATAATATTATGCTAGAGAGAGGAGAGACAGAGAAAGAAGCGTATGATGCACTTTTCTTTTGAAAATAAGGCAAAAAGGGTGGTTTGATTCTCTGTGGTGGGGTGTATTGTGTTTGCCAACGCCCTGGCGATTCACAGGATGCCACGTAGATATAAAAATTGATAGTGGAACGAACCGGGCTGGGCCAGACCAAGGGACAATTTGGGAAAAAGGTTAAAAAAACAAATTTTTTAACTTTTAACTTTTTTTAGTTATTGTTTGACATGTGTTAAAATAGCATATTATTCTATTGTCACAATCGTCTTATTTAAATCATATCACCTCTTTATCACATCATTTTAAATTTAATCTCACGTTTTTTCATAAAAAATTAAAAAACATATTAATTTAACACTTTTCAAATAAGCCCTTACACGAAAAAGCTACAAAAAAAACCAATTTTTTTAACACAAAAAAAACTAAAAAGTCACAAAAAAATTAAAAAATTAATTTTTTATCAACTTCTCAAAATATTACCAAATGGCACAGCCTATCCAGGTTTGTTGGTTGGTTATGAAGGGTTATTTTAAAAAGTTCATTAAAAATTAGTTTTTTTAGTTTTTTAGTTTTTTAGTTTTTTTATAAAACGTATAAAAAAAATAGAATAATGATATGATTCAAAAGTTAAAAAATAGTTTTTAACTCTCCACCCAAAATAAGCCAAAATTGATTATTGAATTTGACTGTGAATTTTTTTTTTCTTTGTATATTATTAATTTTCATTAGGAGTATGTTGTTTGGTTTAATTTCTTATAACTGTTGTTTGGTTATATTTATCTGATTTCAAAAATATTACAGATTTCTAAAATCGTACACGTAAAAATAGTGTTTGGTAGTTTGATTCAAAGTTTAAAATTGAGTATAATAATATTGTGTTTGGATTATAAATTTAGATAAAAATTTCAAAAGAAAAATAGAAGAAAAAAAATTAACTTATGTTTCCATTTACATTTTTTTTAAAAAAAATTGTACCCAATCAATGATCCAAATACATTTTAAGTAAAAATCAATCAAATCTATTTGATTATCACAATTTGTTTAACTTAAAAATTTAGCCTCCGTTTGGGAAGTGGGTTGGCTTTTTGGCTTTTTAGCTTTTTTGGCTATTTTAGCCTGGGCTAAAAAGCTTGGTCTGGGAAGGGCTTTTTGGCTTTTTGGCTTTTTTTTGTGAGAGAAGAGTGTAATGATTATGGGTTGGATGTGATGTTTTGTTTGTTGTGGCTAAAATAGCCTGTTTTGTCTTTTGTGGCTATTTTAGCCCCAACCCACTTGCCAAACACCAAATTAACTTATGTTTCCATTTACATTTTTTTTTAAAAAAATTGTACCCAATCAATGATCCAAATACATTTTAAGTAAAAATCAATCAAATCGATTTGATTATCACAATTTGTTTAACTTAAAAATTTAAGATTCTGTTTATGAGTGATTTAGAACGTTCTAAATAAGTATTTTTTTTAACTTTTTATAACAAAAAAGGGGAAGAAAAGTAGAGAAATTGATTAGAAAAGTAGAGATGAGATATTGATAGATGTTGATTAATGTAATCTAAATAAGTGTATGTATGTAAAAAAAAAAAAAATACACTTTTTTAGTTCTTCCCAAACAAGCACTTAGGCCTCATTTTGAAACACACTTTTTTTAATAACTTTTTAGTTTTTTATTTAAAATATGATGTGAAATAACTTAGTATGTTTAAATTGACTTTTTAATTTTTTTTGAAAAGATGTGCAAAAAGTAGAGAGAAAAGAGAATCTTTTACTTTTCGGTATAAGTTGTTGATTTTTTAATTTTTTTTAATGACTTTTTAATTTTTTTGCTAAAATCACCAATTACCAAACGAAGCCTTCGTTAGAGTTTTTAAAACCTATTTTTTAGATTGGTTTTCATTTGTGTTTTGTGAATTTATTTATTTTTTCCATATTTTAGTGGATTTATTTTACTTTACATACATCTAAATTAAATAGCATTAAGTTTTCGTTCAGCATTGGGTTTTTTAGTTGGTTTTTTATGTTAGAATTTTTTTAACTTGACTTTTTTAACCTCGTTTGGCTTGGCTTTTTAAATTTTTTTGATTTTTATGAGAGAAAAAGTATAATGA